GAGGTGTGATAATTAAGGATAGGGAGATTAAGGAGAAACATTTAAATAGCATGTTAAATACTTAGCATTTTTTTCTTTTAATATACAGTTTACTTAAAAAGTCAATTTGTAAAATCCTAAAATAGCAGTGTTTAGATGTGTGAATGTCAAGTGAAGAATGTCAGGTGAAATATGTGCTAAGATAGCAGACAGGACATTGGGCTCCATGCCTGGCTCTGCATTTGCCCAGCTGTGCAACCTAAGGCAAGTCGCAATCTTTCAGAACCTTTAAGATGGAAATAATGATATCTCAAACCTCTATTCCTCATGAAATCATTGTCAAAATTACATACTTGAAACTACATTGACTGTAAGCTCTTTGGGGGTAGGGATCTTATATTTTGATTTTGTTACCAGTTACTTGACTAACTCATGTATGAGAGAAATAGAAAACATTTTTATTCTTTGAAAAATATTTTAAAATTTTTTATGTATTATCTCAAGAAACTCATCAGTAACTCTATAGAAGTTTCAACTTAGAAAATATAGAAAGTGTTAGTAGCACCAGAAAATCAATATTTTCAGTAATTAATCTAAAATTTCTATTTAAAATTCCAAAATGTATTTAATCTTACCAACCTTAAAAGAACAAAATGTATAAAAAATAAGAAAGTACCTTTTGAACATGTGACCATTCCAGTAAAAGATAATTTTAATAGTAAGGAATTAGTAAAGGATGACAACAACCTTTGCATGACAACAGAGTGGTAGACTATGCTGTTAAATATATGTAAGAAACAATTTGTAATCCTTGCAGAAAGCAATCTAAATGCTATCAAGAACCTGCTATGTGTACATCTCTAGTACAAGGAATTTCCTTGTAAACTTGACATCCACATATTGGACATTCTCCTCAGACTGGTTGCTTCTTCTGAATTTTCTGTCACTTATAGTACCAGAATCCAGCCACTTTTCAAAATCCAAGTATCAATTTAGACTCTTTCCTTTCCCTCACTGCCACCCCCATTCATTAAGACTCTGAGTCCAGCATTTATACTTCCTTAATATCTCTCCTGTGTGTGTGTATTCTATCTTTTTTTCCACCATTGTAGTCTTGGTTCAGTTTCTTTTCATACCTTATCTCGATCACTGAAATGGCATTGTAATTGGTGATATGGCAGTAATGAAAGAGACAAATTTAATATTTAAGAGAAAACCAAATGACAGAATATAGAAGGAGAATTAGGTTTGGGAGGAGAATAATGAATTTAGTTCTGAGCATGTTTAGTTTGAGGTACTTTGGGGTCATCTAGGTGAAGATATTCCAAGTATGTGTGGCTATGGGCAAAAGCTTCAGGATAAAAAAGTAGGTTCATAGTGAATGCCATGGATATGGATGAAATATCCCCTCTCATATCTTACAGCTTCTGAAAAACTTTTTCCAGATCATCTCATCCCACAGTGAACAGATAAATTCAAGAGATATTTAACTCTCAAACTATCAAAGAGAACATAGGAGAATTGGGATAAAGAAAATGATTAATTCAGTTCTAAGCATGTTGGATATGGCCGTATGTAAAAATTGATTGAGCTGTATACTGAATATTTGTGAGCTTCATTGTATATACATTATACTGTAACAAAAAAATATTTAAATAAAAATTAAATAGAGCAAGATCAAATTTCCATGGAACAAAAGTGCCAGGCCTCATAGTTAGGCTGTGATGGCCCAGTTGGGGAGCAGGTGTCCAGCATTAACTCACATAGTCCATTGATGAGAATTCTGTGACTTAGTTCCCAAGCATCACTTTGAACATTCATCCCAAAGTGTAAATTAATACAATGTCATCCCTGCCCTGTTAGGTCTTATTGCTTAATGCCATCATAATGTCAGTGGGGAATTCTAAATTTTCTATGAGAAATATTTTATGATAATAAGATATTCAATAAATATCTGCTAATGACCTTAGTACCAAGGGACAGGTACAGCCTACAAAAGCTCTAAGAATTGAGAGGTTGAAGAAACCACTGTGAGCTGGCTGCCCAGGCAAAGTTTCTCAAAGGACACTGAAATTGAGCCAGACTCTTAAAGTTTAGGAATAGAGGCAGCATTTGCAAAGTGTGGCCCATATAAGTATTTTACTTGATTTTTATTTGATTTTGAATGTACAGTCTTTCAAGAGGCAATGCAACTAGGAGAATTTGTGGATATCCATGACCTTGCGTTATGCTTTGTGAAAATGTGCCAGTTTCCTAGGCATCTAATATGGGAGGGTCAGTAGGGAGCAACATAAACAGAAGATGATGAGGGTCTAAGTGAATTATTAAATTACAAAAAATAGTTTGGGTAAAAATTGCAGAGTGCCATGAATGTCATACTAAACAATTCAACAGGTAATATTAGATGAGAGTATGACATCCATGTTTTGTCATTCAGAAGTGCTGAGCCAATTGTACAACTAGCATTAATAACAATAAATGCTGTAAGCAGCTCCTGGTTCTTTCAGTGTGATGCCAAGCATCTGGAAGTGAATTCTGATTGCTTTCTTTCAGTTGCCATTTGAACCGTTGCTATTCTGCAGATATAGTTTCTGTTTAAACAACTGAAGGGGGATAACTTGTTCAAAGTAGGTTAAAATTTTTTGTAAGATTCATAAATCTTAGCAGAATGTTAAAAGAATTAGAAAATAAAGTTATAGATGCCAATAGGAGCCATCTCATTGGTGTTTATTATGGAAATAAAGTTGTTTGAAGCTAATAATTAATTCTACAAGATTTTGCTGGCTTAAAGAACATTTCTCATGCAGTAAAATTACTAATGTAATTACCGATGTAATTTTACTTGGTAATTTTACACTACTCAAAAGGGTAGGTAAGACTGTTCTTTGACACTAAAATCTAAGGTATCTACTTATTAGGGGCTGGTAATAGCCAAGGATTAATAACTATAATTTGTGCATACATGTGTATTGAGAGACTCTTGACATACTTAATATATCGTTACACTGAAGATCAATATTCAGGGGATGTTGTCCTAATTTCTCCCTTGACTCTATAAAACAAACTTTTCATGCTTCTTTATCTGTGGCTTTAAAAACTTGACTATAAGTTTTATTGTTAGGATAACATTTGGTAGAAATAAATTCTAATTCAGTTTCATTTTTTTGTTTGATAGAATTATTAAGGGTAGTGGTATAAAAGTAGAAATCCTATTGCAACATTGAGGACATATGATGGGTTTTAGTAGAAATGGTGAAACTTGATCACTTAAAATATTAAGACTAGAGTATGAACTCATAGTTTTAAATATACACAGATAGATACAGAAATAGATATTAATTTGTATGGATAAACATAATCATGCATCTATTTCCTATCTCTGTCTGCTGAGAGCACTTAGAAGCAATGACAGACCAGTAGCAATGAGCGTACTCAGTATTAAGATCTTAGTTTTCAAATATCATTCTCTACTAAAACGAACATGGGATCCTTTAAAAAATAGCTAATTCCAGGGTTAGAGCGAAGAAAATGCAAGATGAGCCTGGAACATATTCTTATGACATAAAGAACTGCACAAAGAATCATAAGGGCATGTCAAGAAGACAAGTGAGCCTTTTTGAAGGGGCCTACCCTGGCCAAATCTGGAACAACTGAGTCATCAAAATAAGTAATGACATTGATGGATTATAACCCATTGAATAGAATAAGAACTCATAAGTCCAGATAGATGGGTGGATGGATGGATGGACAGACAGATAGATAGAGAGACAGACAGACAAGAAGAGAAAGTACTTCCTTATAGTAGAAAGCCAACTAATAAATGTAGAAAGAATGATGGAATTAGAAAATCACCATTTGATAGCCATCATAATAATAATTAATTTGGGCAAAAATCATCAAGAGTTGTAAAACTAGTAGGTGAAAATTTTAGGATGAATAGGACATGTAAATAGTCTCAGAGTTTCTCCCCATAGATGCTTATTAATTTCAAAAAGGAAAATAATAATAACTTTACAGAGGAGAAGCTTAGAAGTCATTATGTTAACCAATTGATCAAAGTTAATACCATCAGTAATGGGACAAGTTGACATCATGTACTCCTGATATTGTGTGTATGTGTGTGTGTGTATACACATGACAATAGTTGTGGCAATTATTTAAAATATTTACATCAACAAAATATTTGGGTGTAGGATTTGTTTTTGCTTTTTGGTTTCGAATAAACTTTGTTTTAGCTTTAAGACTTCTTCAACTTACTTATATTATGACCATTTATTAAATTTCTTAGATGTTTTATTCAGTTATATTTAAATAAAGTTAATAGTCCAGAATTCAAATGTTCTCTTAACCCTCTAAGCCATATTCTAAAATACAGCTCTCAAGCATGGCATGGTAATGGTTGCATATGTGGTCAGTTAATATTCTTTTAAAATCCTCACATGTGGGTACTTCCTAAATGTTCACCCTTTAAAAAAAATCAGACAATGAGAATATATATCATATTCCCTTTTGTACTTCTCTGCAGATGGCAAACAGTAGGTTTCAGTGCTCTACTGAAGTAACTGCATTTAGTTAGATAAACCTATCTTGTTTCTATCATTATATGACAAGATCTTTTAGCTTTATTTTATGGAAGTAAATGTAGTACATTCGATAATGAAATAAACTTATTTTATTTCATTAACCAACACAAAGAATGTAATTAACTGACTGCATAAATGTAAATATTTATTATGCTATAAAAGTATCTGAACCAACACTACTGTGTTAGCGTAGGGTTATATAAGCTCTTAGAAGAGAAGGTAGAAACTATTTTATTTTAAAATGCTTCAAATTGTATATATTGTCTGCAGGTTACACGTAATGAATTATTTTGATAATAATATTAACTTCAGCTGAATTTTTAAGTAGATGATGATTCAGGTCTTAGTATAGTAATTTATAAAAAGAAATGTACCTC